GACTGGAATTCTATTCAATCTTTCTTGCAAAAACCAGAACTATAGTACACCACCTATAGTTTCCATTTTCTGTTTCTTAAACATAGAAACAACTCACTAACACCTGACTTAATCTTACTGTACAATGTTTTCAGATTTTTAAGGGTATTTTCCCCTTCACCACTTAGTTATTTCACCCATATCTATTTCAACTATAATTGATTTTTCTTTTCTATGAAAAACAGGCTATTCATCTATTTTCAAAGTAGCATTGGTTCTAATATTAACACCTTTTTGCCTTCACGGTTCACTGAATAATGGTTCATTAAATGATGCAATTACAACATTAAATACAACTGCCATTAACAATTTGTTGGGTACAATTTGTTGGGTACAAACATTAATGATTCTTGGTAAGCACAAAATAACTGGTGGAAATAAAAGTGCCTACCATGTGCCAGGTATCACACCTTTATATGAATTTTCTCAATCTTGATGAATACTATAAAGGCAGAGTAACTCCTACCTGTTGTTATTGTTGCAAGTGCATCTACCACTACAGAAAATAACTCAATACAAAATCAGCTAAGTAAAAGTAATCGATCTGAATATGGCTGTAAATTGGACATTAACTCATTAAAGAAAAACACATTAGAAATTGCTTAAGCAGGGCCTTCCTGGTGACGCAAGGGGTTAAGCGTCAGCCTATGAAGCTATCTGCAGCCACTGTAGCATGAGTTTGATCCCTGGCCAGGGAGGTGACCTGCATGGTGAAGCAGACCTCTCCTGTCTCGCACGTTGCTCCCCTCAGCAGTGTATTTCAGTCAATCTGTCTGTTGTGTTCCCCAATCTGTCTCTGGTGAATCCTCTCACCCTCAGAACCTCTGGCCTATACTCCAGCTCTTATATGCATAAATAAGTACGTCTTTTAAAAAAAAGAGAGAGAGAGAAATTGTTCAAGCAAAAGAGTATGAGATTTTTACTTAATTCCACTGAAAGCTATAAAAATACAAATGTGATTTAGTTATATATGGACATAATTTAGCTACAGATTGTCTTTAAATTACAACTATATAGGACCTTAATAACAAAGAAAATGACCAAAAGTGAGTCTTCTCTCTCAAATACATTAACAATTCAAGTTCAGTGTCAGTAATTCTTTCTCACAACTAAGATGATGGGCAGAGAGTGGCAGGAGAGAACAGAGCCACTCAGTATGGTCTGCAAACAAATCACTATGCAAGTTCCTTAGGTGCCTAAGAGGAGGAAACCTAAGCACTTGGTTTCTAAATCTCAGCTTTGAGAAGGAAACTAGAAAAAATATGGTTAACAGCAAAATATTCCCACATATCTTTCTTGCTCCATATATTTTGAGTTCAGAGGCTCTCCCAAGAAACTGCACATTTTTCGATAACTTGATTTCTATACATAAAGAATCCCGTACGGTTCTGGCCTACAGATTGGCACAAAAATGATGTACTGAGGTAATTTAAGTTACTAAAAACCATTCTATCTGCTCCTACAGAATCCCTGCAATTAAAGAAACACAGATACCGCCAAACCACCATATCCAAAGAAATCACATGTTGAAGAACCAACATCCAGATATATTACTGGCAACTCCAATCAATACCACTAAGTGCCAACTGCTTGAAAAGGAAAGGAAGATAAAAGAGCCGAAAAGACAGATCATAGGTGATTTAAGACTTTGAACTCGGAAAAACCTGATTTAAAATATGAACTCTACTACTTCTAAGATTTATCTTCAACAGGTAGCTTAAACTCTAAAAGGCTGTTTCCTACTTACAAAAATGGGGCGATACCACCTAACTCACAGAGCCGTCTGAACAGTATCATTTATACTAATAAGCACTTGAATAAATTATTATAAATATTGCTATTGGAAGGTTTAATGTAACACAAATTCAGTTATAGTGTAAGTCCTTTTTAACAGTGAGGAAAACATTTAATAAAAAGCACCAAACTTTCCTGTAACATGATTTGACAAGCTTTAAAAAAACTGGTGTGGTGACAGGGCTATCTTTCTAAGCACTACTTTGATAATGATTAAGTTTGGGGTTATTTTAGGGTCATCTGATAGTCAAGATGACTAAAAACCATATACATATTTATTTGTGGAATTGTGTTTCTCATTTTATCACCCCACTACTACAGTCAATGCTCTTTATGTACAGATTCCTTACATTTCACTTTACCCACAGTGAATCTCACCTTCAAATGTATGAAGACTAATATAACTACCTAATTGACCTGCAATATTTGGTCACTATTTCAGCACTCCCTCTATTTGGTTTGCTGTATCTTTTTAGAAAGCTCTTTAAAACTAAATAACCACCTGTTCCAATTAACTACACAGGAATAATCTTCTATTACCAACATGGCAGGGATTATAGGATGGATCAGAGGGGTCACTGAAAAAGAAGAGCTTCTCATTTCTCCCATTAAGGAGAGCTTCCCATTTCTTCCTGAGTCACAATTTTACAATCTGGATTTACTTCACATAAAACCAATTATCAGACTGCCTGACACACCCATATACAAATGCAAATAAAGAAGAATAAAAAAGTCATGTATGAACTGTTTCGAATTTACATACTTTCCTGCCTTCTTCCATTAGCATGAATGATAACAAATTAACTGTTCTGTTATAGTTTACTGAAACATTAATATCCATATTTGCCTCCCTATCAGCATAGAATCTATACACACTTGGACCTTCATACCTCCAAATGACTCATTTTTAAACACAAGACATTCTGGACTTCCAAGACCTAATCTCCACCTACATTCACTGCTTCCTTTCCCACAAAGACCTCCTGGCACAGCAGCCTTATGCCCAGCTCTACAGGTCCCATTATAGTCAGCCAAAATGCCTGTGCTCAGGCTGTTCTCTTCACCTAGAAAACTACCAGCCCTCCAACCCCTATTATACCTTTAAAATATTTAAAGGCCTAAATGGAATGTTATCAGCTCTACATTGGTTCTTAATTCCCCAGTCAAAACACACACACACACACACACACACACACACACACACACACACACACACACACACACACACACACCATGATTCCAAGCACCTCTAATAAAGCACACAGGACTCTTGTGTTGCAATTATTTCAGTGCTTGTCTCCTTCTCCCTTGAAGGCACCCACAGGGTCTCATTCATCTTCATATTCTACCCATTCTTCCATCCTGACATCTCAAGATCCCTTGTACACAGTAAAGGTTTGAACGACTATTCCTTGATTCAAATAAATGACTTTCATGTGTGAAAGACTGCGTTAATAGTCAATGCTTACAAATTAAATTATGAAAATGTCAATATACACAATACATAAATTTTAACTTGATGAATGGCCAATGAGCACAACTATTGTAAAGATAATTATTTTCCAAGATCCCTAAATGAAGTCTCAAATATATCAACATTAACTTTTTGTGGTCCCCAAATCTCATAAGAACTTATACCTGACGCAGATCCCAAAATGCAAATTCCCCCAAAACAAGCGTCTATACAGTCAGTTAAGAATCTATGTCAAAATCATAGAATACATTTGATAACATCTTTCTTTCATTTGCCCATAAAGATAATTTTCACCTTCTGTGCAACTATAAAGGCCAGTGTATACAAAATATAAAAATAATTTATCTTAGGTCAGCACAGAGCTGGAGCAAAGTTTGGAAATAATTCTAAAATACACTAAACACGTCTGCTCCCCCCCCCTCAAAAAAAAAACTATTGAAAATATTACAAATCAGATGTGATTTTGGGTAGAAAATGTTTTCTTAAACTGCGTGACATCTTCCTAATACTAAATTATGCTTACACTATTTTTTGTGATTATTTTTCTTCTACAATTTATTTAACGGGCAAACACACATTTTCCAAAACCATGTGTATAGGCCTTTAAAAATTAACTCTTTAAAAATATTTGAAAGTATTCTAACTTAAACGTCATCCACATCCTAAGAACGGACTGCAAAGGCAAAACAAATAATACTGATTGCTTTTCTTAACTTACTAAATAAAATTTCAATCGGCTTTTTATTTGCAATTAAAGGAGCTGCTCCAACAAAAGGTTAAAAAGGGGTCACTCACAGACCAGCTTTGGTGCTCCTGACACCCGAGTGAAAACGAATTCGCACGGGGTAGCAACAGTAGCCATCTCCCACAGACTCTCCCTCTGCCACCCAGCAACTTTTCCTCCTTCCCTGGGAGCACCGGAGTGATCACAACACAGGCCTAAGTACCCCCATCCCACGAGCACACCCTATCATCACCTCGCAGGGAAAAAAAAAATGTGGGGGGCCGTGGACCAGAGAACCAACGCATCGGTGTCCCTGCCCCTGCATGTGGGATAAACAAACCAACCAGCCCCGAAACAGTTGCCAGATGAGTAATTGTGCTCCCCCCCCCGACTAAAGCCCCGGTTAAGTTTCGCGTTAAGTCAAAGCTCTCCTCGGTAACCCCTTGCCCCCTCACCGCACCCCAAACAAACCACCCAACGGGAAGTTTTTCCTGAAATGAACGCCGGCCCCTGTCACCTCTTCCCAGCCGACCTGCCTCCCTCCCTGCAGCCCCAAACCCCCACTCCGAAGGGAATACTCAGGACACCCCTCGGAGCGCCGGGGACCGCACTCCCGACCTCAAAACCCCTCCCCACAGCACCCCGCCTCTCCCCAGCTCGCCCACGTCCCCCGCGCGCCCCTCGCGCCGCCCCACTCGGGCAACTTCAGCCGCAGCCGGGCCCGCCGCTCGGGCCCCTCCCCGCCCGCCCAGCCCCCGGCGCCCTCAGCCCCGGGCCGCGGCCGCCTCCCGCCCGCCCGCCCGCCCGCGCGGCCCGCCCCGGCGCCCGGCCGCCCCCCGCGAGGCCCGGGGCCGCCCCCCGCCCCCAGCCCGGGACCCCGGCCCACGCAGCCCCGCCCGGGGGGCAGGGAGCCGCGGCCGAGCCCAGACGGCCGCCGGGCCGGGCCAGCCGCCGCGGACAGGGCTTTACCTCAGAGGCGCGGCCGCGAGCGGCGGGGTCGGTCCGGGGGCGGGCGGCGCCCCCAGCTCCGTCAGTCAGCGCGACGCGCGCAGCGGCGGCTCATCACACCCGCGGCGGCCGGAGGAGGAGAGCGCGCCGCGCAGGGGGGCGCGAGCGAGGCAGGGGGGGGAGCGGCGAGCGAGGGAGCGAACGCAGCTCGGCTCGGACGCGGCCGCCGGCGCCTCCTACCGCCGCCTCTGGCCGCCGAGTCGCCGCCCGAGCCGCCGCTGTGGCCACCGCTGCCGCCGGGAATGAATGCACGGCGTCGCCTCGCTTATCCGGAGGTCAAACATCCTTCTGCCTCGGGCATCTGGAGCGGCGCCGGACCCGGAAGTGAACACAGGGAAAAAAAATAAAAAAGGAAAGCGTCCCTCGGCGGCGGCGGCCCCGGCGGCCCGCATCAGCGAAAAGAGCCGAGCGGAGCCGAAGCTGGCCCCGGCCGCCGCGGATTGGTTGACGCGGCGACCGGAAGGAAGGGGGCGCGCTCATTGGCCGCCGAGGACTATAAAAGGCAGGCCACGCCTTCTTCCGCGCCTCCGCGCAAGCGGAGCGTGAGCGAGGCGGTGCGGGATTTGTGGATACGGGGATGTTCCTCAGGGTGAGGCCCTGGCAGGAGAGGCTTGGTGGGGGCTGTGGAGAGAACTGGAAGGAAAGCCCTCCTGCTGCTGGAGTGCTGCTGAGAAGTGCGTGGTTTGAGCGAGCAGTGAATTGAAGGGCGCCATGGTGCCAAGCCAGGGTGCCCCGGCTTCCTGGGGCTTTCCTAGTTGTGCACACAGTAGCCCTCGGGGTGCCACATAATTTCAGGGCCCTGCCTATGGGGGTGAGCTCTCTAGATACGCATGCACACGCGTGCACACGCATGCACGCCCGCACGCCCGCACACCGTTTTGTAACCTCAGTGCTATGTCAGGGAGTCACCTGTTCAGAGGTTGGCACACCTTTGCCTCTGCTGTCTGTGGAGGACTCCGTTTGTGAGCTCAGGTAATGCCCAGAACTGTATAAAGTGGTCGTTATTAGCTCAGGTTTTCAAAGAAGCATCCTGAACTGCCGAGAGACTAAACGTCGCTCAAGCCACGAAGTTGTAGAGCACAAGCTGGTTACCAGGGTTTTCTGTCTCCACTTTCCTGTCCTATAGAGCAAAGACAAATTACACTCTTCTCCTCTGTAAATTGGTTAACTGGGGTGAAGGGGCTTCCCTCTGGGAGACTTCTGTGTAAATCGATCCACCACGAAAACACTAGAGGATTCAAACTATAATTTCTTTAAATTTTATTCTTAATATTTCTTATGGGTAAAGAGCTTTCAAAAGAAAAAGTCATACCCTGACACTGTTTCAGTCACTTAGGGAGCATTTTTATAAAAATTGAACACTGTCAATAAGTTTATCTCTCCCCCCAACTCCAAAGGAAAGGCCCCAAAGAAACCAATGCGCTTTAAAATAATCCACGATTTTAGTCTTTCTCGCTCCCTACCTTACAACACTGATGGGTAGGGTTAATGTATAACTTTTAGAGGAGTAGTACGTAAGGAAAGAGACCATTCTTGTTTTGAGTTTGTTTTTTGGTTTTTTTTTTGCTTTTGTTTTTTTGTTTTGTTTTGTTTTGTTTGTAATACAACGGTGCTATTTTTTTTTAAACCCCTGTCCTAACCATTTTTTCTAAACTGGAAGTCAAGAAGTGACAGGTATCACAAATCTTAGAAGATTTGTATTAATAAGAACGTTGCTTCTGTGTTTGCCATGCTATCATCGTTTAGACTCATGCTCAGACCTGGAAATCATGTCAAATGATATATACCTGATCTATCCCGTCTGATCTATCCCAAGACCCAATGCTAGAAAAGAAACAATGACAATCCCGTCTCATTGAATGAAAATGTCTGCAGTACAGGGAACTCGAAATACTGTCCACAACAGCCAGCAAACTATTTTAAACTCTCTAAAAGCTCATGTTAGATAAAGAACAACTCCAACCCATCCCTCAAAGTTGTGGTGATTCAGAAATGCAAATGTATAAATAGATGATCAAATTTTATTTCGAAAGAGGTGTAGGTGGCAATAACTGTTTACATTTTTAAACACTTAAGCAAAAAAAAAAAAATCATTGTTAAACTTTGGCCTAGAAGGTCATATAGATTAAAATTGGCAAGTAACCTAGGGAGGCAGAATTTTTTATATTCTACTGACATGTAAGAAAAAAATGGTAATATGAAAACAGGTTACTTACAGAAGGAAAAATCAAACTACAAGCATCTCCACCAAAACCATTTTGTAACATAAGGACTCTACATAAGCAGATAAATCATAGTTTTTTCCTGCTTTATTGTATACCAAATGCAATTTAATTTTTTGTGTCCACCCATGATTCCAAGTATAGTCAATCAGATATGTTTTCTTTTTATTTTTCATTATGTTTTCCAAAGTTGTGACTCATGTTGTTTTATTAACCAGAACTTTATTACTCTTATTTGTATCTCTATAAGTAAATATTTATTCCAATGTGTAAGCACACAACCTGTAAAGATTACTATGAAAAACATGATAAAAGAATTACCAAAGCTTCCTATAAAATATATTTTTTTATATTTCTATATTTTCTATATATTTCTATAAAAATGAGGGATGAAAAGTTAGTTAAAAATGACTTGAAGAGAGGGCCTCCCCGGTGGCGCAGCGGTTGAGTGCTGGGTTGCGAAGCTGCCCGCAGCCTCAGCGGCGCCGGTTCAATCCCCGGCTGCTCCCCGGCCACCAGAGGAGGGTCCCACATGGTGCGCAGACCTCTCCTGCTGCCCGCTGCTCCCCTCAGCAGTGTACTTCGGTCCTTCTGCTTGCTCTGTTACCCACTCTGGCTCTGGTGAATTCTCTCACCCTCCCGCGCTTCTGACTGTACCCAGTGCATGTATAAACAAAACAAATAAAATAAATAAAACATGCCTCTATTAAAAAAAAAAAATGACTTGAAGAGAGAAGGGGATAGGGTGCTTTTATTTCATAGCTGACAGTGTAACTGCCCCATTATCCCTTATATAATTTGATTCTTCTGTTAGTACTGCTCTTCCTCCCACCCCTCTGCAGGTTTTGCTGCTACCCAGCACCCTCCTGCCCCATAGACACACAAAAGCACAAAGTGGAGAGTATAGGACTCAGCTTTTGAATTTCCATTTGAATCCTCACTGCTTGCAGAAAAGGGAAACTGGCCAACTCTACTTCCCACAAAGTATACCTACCATTCTCTCTTCACCAGAGCATGGTAGCTCTTGAAAAGAAAAAAAATGATAAATGCAAGTTTAAAGTGTGGCATGAAGGATTAATGTCCCTAACATGAAAATTTTTGCTTTGGTAATTTTCTCCCCAATTCTTTGTTTGTACTATTAAAAGACACTGTAAAGTCAAACTACTTTTATACAAATTAATCAAGAAATCCACCCCAAATACAAATAAGCACCAAAGATTAATCCAACACCTTACTTTTGTTAGTACAGTGTATCAACTTTGTGGAGCTGAGTTTAATACAGTCAGATACTTTCCAACTAACAATGTAATAATCAGCACTTATACTAACTCAGTTTATATTACATGTGGATATGATTCTGACAACTCTACAAAGTAATATGGCAGCTATTATTTTTTCACTGTTAGGAATGAGGTTAATTGACTTCCCCATTATATTGAGATATGATAACCTATTAATATAAGATGCAAAATTAAAATTGTGAGATTAGTATTTTACAAAGTAGGGACTCCCTGGTGGCATAGGCGGTTGAACGCCGCACTGTGAAGCTGTCCTCGGCCTCTGTAGTGTGGATTCGATCCCGGCCGGCCAGCCAGCGAGAATCCCACATGGCAAAGCAGACCTCTCCTGTCTCGCCCACTGCTCCCCTCAGCAGTGTATTTCGTCAGTCTGCCTGTTCTGTTCCCCGCTCTGGCTCTGGTGAATATTCTCACCCTCCCGTGCATCTGGTCTGTACCCTGGCTCTTGTATAAATAAATAAATCTTTTTAAAAAGTATATATTTTACAAAGCAGCCATCACCAATCAACCAAAAAAATGCCATTTGGAAAGGCCTAACAATGGAGCAGAATGAATAGTACAAAAGATTTTTTTTTTTGTTCTGGATTTTCATGAGTTTTAAAAAAACATGTCAGTGTAAACCTCTGTCTATCATGTTAACTTCATTAGATCTATTGTCAATCATGGATTCATTTGTTGTTAAGTTTTTTTCATATCTTTGTTGCTTGCAAACAAATATTTCTTAAAAAAAATAATTCTAGCCTACAGTAATTCTTTCCAGATGGTAGCTACCTATTCTTGTAATTTTTCCTAGATAAAGTAGCAAATCCATTTCTGATCAAAATGTGAAATAAAACTGTTCTAACCCATTAACAAAAAAAAAGAAATACTTACAAAATCTTTTCAAAATCAAATGAGAAAATGTTTGTTTTCTTGTTCCACAAATTTTTTTTTTTTAATTGTAGTGCTAGCTGTACCATGGTGATTCACTGGCTGATCTGGGATAAAGCCTGAGGCATCACCAAACTGTACTTTTTTTTCCTTTTCACTTTTTTTTCATTTTTTCATTAATAATTTCAAAATCATTTCATTTTCCTTTTCACTATCCTTTTTTAGGAACATTGGAATTCCAGGCTGGAACTCAGTCCTCCTTCCTTTTGGGGTCATTTAAGGTAAACTACCTTATAAAATGATATAATTAACAGAAAGTAAATGTTCAAGCAGAGACAGCAAATACCCAAAATGAGACACATAACAATAGTCAGAGCCTGAGACCAGGGCAACATATTTTACTAGCACCAGGAAAATAACCTCTTCCCCAGTTAAGACAACAGTCCAAGGGAGGGACCAGCAGTCCAGGGGAGGGAGCAAGCCAGTTACACAAAGCAGGTAGATGAGGTTTAGAGAAAGCTGTCACTTAGCAACCTTCCCTTCAAATTGTGACATGAGTATGATAGAAGAATAAGTTTAAGTATTTTATAAATGGAAATTTCTGAGAGAGATCATTATTTTTTATAATCTTTATAATATATAATAAATCTTTACAATAATAATTTTATGATGATAATCCAGTAATATTTAATAAAATTACCAACATGTTGGCGTTCTAGTGAGATAGTGAGACTTACCTTCGTGGTTTTTAGAGGCCAGCTGCCTTCTCCCTGTGTGTTTATATGGCTTTTGCCATGCTACATGCATGTGAGGTCTTCTCTTCCCATCATCTCTTTCTCTTCTTCTCTCTTTTTTTTTAAAGATTTATTTATTTATGCATACAAGAACTGGGGTACAGGCCAGAAGTGAGGGAGCCTGAGAGGACCCACCAGAGACAGAGTGGG